TTTGTTGCTGTACCTGGTGAGCCTGTGGCAGGCGCGAGCCTACCTGGAAAGTCGGTGGCTGTCCCTCTGCACACGCCTGCGGGAAGCGTCGCCGCGCAGCCTGCTTGGCCACCCGGGAGCGGCTTCCTCCCTGGTTCTTGCACAGCCGTTGGAAGTCCTGTCGCCACTCACTGTTATTAAGAAACTTAAAACTCAGCATCACACGGAGAAAATGCATCACGAACGCGGAGTCCGTGATCCCACAGGGGCCCTCCCGTTCCCAGGGCCTGGCGTTGCCGCGACAGCCACACGCCTGCCCTGCGGGAATCGGCACAGCAGCGACTCACATGGCGGTCGTGACACCCCCGAGCTTCACTGCCTCCCTTCCCCCCCACCGGCCGATGCATCTGCTTCTCATGCCCACCCCACCTACGGCACAGCCTCCGTCGGAGGCCAGCCCCAGCCCCTGGCCTCATAGGGCAGAGGCCGCGGAGCAGGCGCTGCAGGCGGCTCTGGGCCTGCGGGCGATGTCTCCGTGCACCCCGCCTCTCCCGTCCCTTCCAGGGTCTTTGGGGAGCCCTGCCAGGCCGGCAGACACCCTCCCTTCCCGCTCCCCGCACCACCCCCAACCCCGTCCGCTCTGGGCAGTGGGACGTGCTCCCTCCCGCCTCCCTGGTGCTCCACGCCCGCCCAGGCTTGCGCTCGCCCAGGGGTCAGGCGCTGCGGTGCCGCCTTGCAGGAGGCTCACGGCACGTGTGGCCGGGCCCGGCAGGGCACCCAGGGCTTCTCAGAACCCCCCACGCCCGGACCCCGTGCAGGGGCCTGTCCTGCCACACAGGCGCCTGGTCCTGATGGTCCCGGGCCCTGGCCAAAGCCTGGTGGGAAGTGTCCCTCTGTCGCCTCCTGTGGGGGTCATCGCCCCCGTACCGCCCCGTATGCGCGTAGCTTCCTCCCCACACTGCAGTCAGGAACAACCTCAGCAAAAAGCAAAAAACGCAATTCTTATTCATGTAAAAAAGGGAAAAAATAAAAGTTAAAAAAGGGGCTGACTCCCCGGATTGTGATGTGAATTTCAGGTTGCATTCTTTCCTTCAGAATTCCGAACACAGGCACACGCACACGCACACACACACATCTACACGTGCACACGCCTATGTACACGTCTACACACACCTATGTATACACCTGCACACACCTATGTACACATCTTCACATGCCTATGTACACATCTGCACACACGGCTATGTACACATCTGCACGCACCTATGTATGTACACGTCTACACATGCCTATGTACACATCTGCGCATGCACCTAGGTACATGTCTACACACACACACCTGCACGCACCTCTGTACACGTCGACACACACACACCTGTGTCTACAGTCTTTGCAGATTTGCTCAGCGTACAGCTTCCTTCATGAGTGGGCCAGGACGCGTCTCAGAAAGGCTGCTGTGATCTCGTTCTCTTTTATTAACGCGATGGGGCATCCGTGCCTCTGTGAGTCTTAGAAACATACATGGCCCTCGACCGAACATAAAACATACAGACGACAGGCCTGCCAGCTGCCGGAAGAGCCATTTTGAAAGGAAAACCTCAATGTGAAAACATGAAATTAAAAATAAACATGAGATCAGCTCTCGGATACTGTCCAGACAATTTGGAGTGAAGTGAGAAGACTTAATTTTTTAAAAATCAAACCTCAGTCCCCTAATTACAGTAGTGAAGTTTTCCCAAGTTTGACATTTTAATTTCCAGGATAAACGGCTGGGGGGTGAATGTCGGCCAGGGCGTGTGGAGCTCTCCTTTCAGGGGCAACGCCGTGGTTGCTGCGCTGCGTGCTTTTGGAACTTTTGCCACAACAGGAGACGCTGGACAAGCCGGTGGTGGCCCAATTCCAGCTGGGAGTCGGGGGACTCTCACCCTGTGGGGACCGACTGCTCCCCCGCTCGGGTGCAGAGAACTGGGTGTCGTGGTTACAAGGGCCTTCGGCAAAGCCCCGAAGTGCGTTTCATTTAAAAATTCACGTCTCTGGGAACATTTCTGTTCTCGCTCCCGCTGCACCTTGCTCACGGTCCGCACACAGGCAGGTGGCCCTGTCTGCTCCGAGTGCCGGCTGCATTATTCATCCCGGGCTTGGTTTCGTGCGTTACCTGGTGACAGGATGGGTCACGTTTCACTGTCAGCACCGCCGACCCCAGGGAACTGAGAGCCGGGCCACGCGCACAGGTGTTTCTGCGCAATTCCCGCTACGCAGAGCCGAGAGGCCGAGGGTCTGCAGGCAGCAGGAGGGACCGGGCTCTGGGGGGCCGGCAGAGGCGCTCTCTGACTTCCGTGGCCCTTTTGATCACTGTCGCTTTAGAGCTGGCAGGACCCGCACCCTGGCTTCAGGGCCCTGTGGACCCCTCCCTGCCCAAACCAGCCGGCGTCCCCTCCCCCAATCCCCCTGGCCAGGGGTCCACAGTGGTGCAGGCCCGGGAGGTGCCGTGTCCCCAGCGTGTCCCCCCGGCCGCTGGCAGGTACTGCGGGGGTTGGGGAGCAGCCCACCCTTTCCGCTTCTCCTGTGTTCGCTGAGTGCCTGCCCCGAGCCAGATGCCAGCGAGAAGTGGGGAGAAGAGGACAGTCCCCCTCTGGGCAAATTTAGCACTGTGATCTTGACCTCCACCTCCTCCCACCTGCCTTCCTCCAGACAAGGCGGGGCTCTGGCTATTATTTCTCTGCGTGGAGGCCTCCTGCCGGCCGTGCCCAGGGCCGATGTGTCCCCAGTGGCCTGGCCGGGTGTTTACAATCAGCCTGCAGTCCAGGACGCTTCCTGTCCCCGTGTCCAGGCAGGAGGGGCCTGTGGCTGGCATTCCCAGCGGATCTTCCCATCTTCGGTTTCTCCAAAGCCTGAACCTTGGGGGGATCTGAGCGGCAGTGAGGAGGAGGAAGGGGATTCGTAGGCACAGTGTTTCGAGAAACAGGGACCAGGAGTGTGACCACGGCTGCAGCTGTGGGATCCGGTGGACACCAGCGCCGGGACCACCCAGGACAGCCACACTCTTGCCGTGGCCGCAAGAGGCTGCCGGACCTCAAGGGCGGAGCTCAGGGCAGATGCGCGACTTCAGGCCACACTCTGCAACTCCGGGCCAGTCCGCGTGTGTGCACGCGTGTGTGCTCGGGTCCTTGTGCATGTGCGTGCGTGACAGAGGCCCACGAGGGTGACAGGCAGATGGGGGTGGGCGAGAAGAGCAGCCCCTGCACCCTCCGTCAGCACGGCCGTGTGGACGGGCCTCGAGGACAGCGGGGTCTCACCGGCCCTTGTGCCAGGAGGCAGAGAGGCTGCCAGGCATGCTGCCAGGGTCCAGGGTCACGCCTGGTGGTCTCCCAGCCCCGGCTCACCTCTGCTGCTCCCCCTGGCGCCCTTCAGCCCCTAACAGTGGCCCAGTCCCCGCTGCTCATGGAGCCACCAGGGGACAGTGAGCCCCGTCCACCTCCAGAGATGACGTGTGCTGGGCCCACCGGCTCTCACATGAGACCGAGGCCGGCAACTGCCTGCCGGGGCGACGGCCATGTCCAGGGTCCCCTGTTCACTCTCCTGTGAGACTGTGCCTTGGCTGGCGAGTCTCACCAGCTGTTTCTGTTCCGACCGTATGTTCCGTGTCTCTCGGGTCTTCCTTTGAACTGCAGAGCTCCTGAAGGGCAGGGCTGAATGACCCATCTTTGAAGAGAGGAAATTCAGTGACTATTTTGTTACTGACTGTAGGAAACATTAAATTAAAAGTCTACATTCAAGTACATACCTGCTTTCCTGTTTGGAAGATGTGGTTATGTTTTCAAAGCAGACCGACCTGGTTTACATTTTGTTTCTCAATTAACCAGCTATTTGGCTTTGGAAAAATTATTTAACTCTGTGCGCCTGAGTTTCCGCATCAGTGCAGTGGGTGTCACACGGTAAGGATCAAAGGTAGTGCTGGGACCATGGAGTCCGGGCAGGAGGGGAGGAGCGGGTGCGGGCGTCTGTCCTGTCCGGGCACGAGGGGAGGGGCGGTTGCGGGTGTCGTCTGTCCTGTCCGGGCACGAGGGGAGGGGCGGGTGCGGGTGTCTGTCCAGTCCGGGCACGAGGGGAGGGGCGGGTGCGGGCGTCTGTCCTGTCTGGGCACGAGGGCAGGTGCGGGCGTCGGTCCTGTCTCGCCGGCCTCAGTTCCCCCGGAGCCTTCTGAAGGGACGAGTCCGGCCGATTCCAGCCTCCGGGTGTTGGAAACCTTGAGGAGCCTCTGGTGTTTCTTGGGCAGTGCCCACCTGTGCCCAGCTCAGGGAAGTCAAAGCTGGAAACCTCCGAATGCCGGAAACGGTTCACTGTTGCAGGAAGGAATCTGGTACCGGGCAGGGTGCGGTGCTTGTGTCCGCCGTGTGGGCAGTGTCTTCCTGACGTCGGTAATGATGTCCCCGTCTCTGATGACCCTCAGACCACGCAAGACAGATTTCCTCACATGCTCATAACTGCCTCTGGAACAGCCAAATCACATTACATTTAAAAATACCCTGTACCAGGCCCCCCGGGGGCTGGGCAGGGCGCAGGGGGCACCTGGGACCTTGAGGGGCCGGGGGGTGACGCTGGCTCCCTGAGCACTGGTTTGTCCTGTTGGAGCAGCAGGAAGGTGGCACCGCCCTGCAGGGCCGTGGGAGGACCGCGCGGGAAGGGTTTGTGCATGTCGTGTGTCTCTGTGCACGTGTGAGTGTATGCACGTCTGTGTGTGTCGGGACCCGCGCGGCCACGAAGCCGGTGGGCGGCGGGTGGGGAGTGGGGGCAGGTGCGGCCCCTCAGGAGCCTCGCGCCTCGCGCCCAGGTCCTGGCTCCGCCGTCCGCGGCGCTGTGGGGGGGGCCGAGGGAAGGAGGAGGGGAATGGGGGGAGGGAGCGGGCGGGCGGGGGAGGAGCGCGGGGCGGGGCGGGGGCAGGGCGGCCCCGCCCGACTGGACGACTGGACCGGTGCGGTGTCGTGGGTCGCTGCCCAGCAGAGGACCTGCGCCCGCCCAAGATGCAGCCGCCGGGGCGCCCTGCTCCGCCCGACACGGCAGGTGAGCGCAGGGGGCCAGGGCGCAGTCCCTCAGGCGGGAAAGGCCCAGCCCCGTTCCTCTCCCAGCCCTGCCCTTGGGACACTGCCCCCGGCCATTCATTCTCCCTGCCTCTGTCTCTGTCCCTGTCTGTGCCCCTCCCTCTCTCCCCTCCCCTCCCTCTCTCAGTCTCAGTCTCTCCGTGTCTCTCTCTGTCCCTCTCCCCTTCTCTCTCTCTCTGTCTCCGTCTCTGTCCTCAGTCCTTCCTCCCTACGTCTCTCTCTGACTCTGCGTCTGTCCCGCCCTGTCCCCCTCCTGGTCACTTGCATTATCAAGAGCCACAGGGAGCCCTTTTCCTATCTCTTCTCCCTCATTTCAGCCTCAGACTTTTCAGGGAAAATTTTGTCCCAGAGAGCCAGGTAGCTTCTTCCTGCTTGGCAGTGACAAAGGTGCTTAAGGCATTTTGCTGCTTGATTTCAGCGCGTCCTTCACACATACGTCCCCCACAAATCCAGGGGATCTCTGACTCTTTGACACCGAATGCACCTCGAGCCAGGCGGGGCGGGGACACAGGAAACCTGTTGCACGTCCGGTTGGGGCTGGGCTTTGGCTCCCTGCCGGGAAGTGGGAGGACTGGAACGATGCCAGTGAGTGTTCCCCAGGGGAGAGGGCAGAGAGGATTTTGAAAAGAAAAGAAAAAAGATAGCTGCATGGTAAGTGACGCTGAGGCAGCCGAGGGAGGGCTGGGTGACACGCGGCCCTGCTGCCCCCGTCGGAGCTGACCCCATGGACACTCTGCCAGCGAACCCCACGACTGTTACTGGAGTAGCTCTGGAAAGTTTCTTTAAAGCCCAGAATAGTTAATATTGTTTTAAAAATAATAATCAAGAAATCTGGCTTCTTTATAAAAGAAACCATTTTGCACCCTCCACCCTCTAAAGCAGAACGTTCGGTGGCCAAGCTGTTTACGTGTTCGCACCCCAGGAAGCTAATACTTTATAAGTGTATAATAATAGTAACTACTTGTTATTATTTTTAACTATGTATTGTATTAGGATGACTTGATGGTTAGTTTTTTCTTCTGACAAAGAAATTTCAACCTTAAAACTTAATCCTAGGGTTGGTCCTTTATTAGAATATGCTAAACATCAGCGCAGCCGGGGTGAAACTACGGGCATTTTTTGCTTTCCATGTCTTTGCTCACTGCTCTGGGCACAGGTTACCTGTCAGCCCGGAGCGAAAGGGAAATCGACAGCGGAGGGTCCGCCATTCTGCCGTGGCTGTCTCACCTGGGGTTATGACCTGGCCAGCATGCTGGGTGTCCTACGGGACCAAGTGAACAGTCTTGTTTGCATTCTTCCAGGTGGGACCAGGTGTGCTGCAGGCCCCTGTGCTCCTGGCCCCTGTGCCCCTCCTCCAGCGAAGGCTGGGAGGAGTGATGCGGTGATAGTCTGAGATAGTCTGCAGAGGATGTGCCTGGGGACAGACTAGAATTAGGAAACGGAGCCAGAGCGCTGAGATGCGGCTGCCAGCCCGGCCAGCTTCACGCCCCATAACTACACCCAGTACACAGCTGGAGCAGCGCTGCTTAGGAGTAACCGCTGGGCCGCCTTGAGGCTCACTACCCGTGATGATTAATAAACCCATGTGTGCATACGACGTACGTATGCAAGACCTTTCCGGCGTGGTGTCTCCCTGGACCCTCACAACAGACTGGGGCGGGGGTGAAGCCAGTGTTGTCATACTTCTGTTTCACAGATCAGGAAACTGAGCGTCACTCTAGTCTGAGATGGGCGCTGGGCTCCAGCGGCGACAGGACAGACCAGGCTCCTGACCCAAGCCGAGTGCTCCTTCCGAGGGCTAGAGGGGTTGCAGGGCTGCCCCAGGGTGGTTGGGAACAGCCTGTGTAAGGTGCCTGCACAGTTATAGACCTGCAGGTGTTTTAATTAATAGGGCACTGTGGTAGGAGCACTTCCCTTTTAACAGTGCACGTTTCTGCTGATGGGATAGGAGAGTCCAGGGAACAATTCCCGTAATTTATCTCTACGTGAGACCCCCTTTCTCTCCCAAACCCAATCTAGAAATGCTTATATTATGGTAATTATAGCAATATCCTACCTCCTTTTCTTGGGTATATTTTTTTTTGTCTTCTTTTTATGCTATGTGATGTATCTATAAGACATATTTGAGGTTGGCATTCTTTTTGTTACCTCTGCTGTATCTGGAGTCAGAATGTTACCATTTGCATCCTTAGAATGAGACTATTCAGAACTGTCCCTTTCTAGTGTCCTGTACAGATTATGTGGCTCTTTCTAGACCTTGTACCAATCATGGAACCTGTGATGAACATGCCATCAAAAAGGGGTGACTCGTACCTTTTGCTTTTCATCTTGTAGCAGTTTTGGGGGGAAGCGTGGGACCCAGGAGAGAGCGGTAAATGGCAATGTTACAGGGAAAATAGTTCATGGGGGGATTTACGTGACCTCAGAGGAGATGCGTCTGACTTTTTGAGCGGTTAGCAAGTTGAGATGTCACTGACTGAATTGCTCAGGCCGACCACATGCCACCAGCCCGGGGGATCTGATGGTTCCCATTCCTGGCGCCAGCCCACCACAGCGGAGCCTCCTGCTTTGAGAACCAGAACGCAGTCGGGGTTCCGCCAGGCAGGTGCCACAGGAGGCCGACACACGGGCCCCACAGAAGGTTCCACCTGTGCTTTTAAGCAGGTGCTGAGTCATTTGGTTAGTTTTTGAGCATAAAAGGTGCGCAATGCATTTAGTTAGGGAAAACAGCAACACGAGATCCTTCGAAAAAGAGAGCATTTGCTTGATAATTTTCTCAAAAACGTAGTCCCATAAAATTTAGTTTTAGAAATCCCATTGCTCTTAAGACACTTAAAAGATTGGAATGGGAACCTAAGCAGAAAATAGTCCAGGAAAAATAGCTGAAGAGGAAATGGCATCAATTAAGAACAATGGGCGTCTGGCTGCGTTCACAGACGGCCCGGCCGGAGTGGTCCGGGCCTCGGGAAGCCGAAGCCAGCGAGGGAGGAGACGCAGGCCGGGCCAAGCCCAGGGCTGCTGGCCAGGGGTGTTCCCCCAGGGGTGTTGCCGCAGGGGTGTGTCCCCGGCCGGACGGCGGCGGTGCGACTGCTCTGCGCTCCTTCACAAAGGCGGCTTCGTCACCTTCCGAAGTACAGACCGACGCATTTTCACTTTGCGTCCATTTGTTCCAATTTACCTGCCTTCTAAAATTAACTCAGCGTGGCGAGCGGGAGGCTCTTCCTGCGCCCTTGTCCCCGCCGCAGGGGACCAGCCGTCAACCGTGCAAAGCCCGGGCAACAACGCAGGGAGAGGCGCCGGGAGTTTCCGGCGCACGCACACGACGCGCACGTGCGTTTCGGAGGCCGGAAGTCGCAGACTGCGCGTCAGTCCGTGCGACGGCCGCTGCGCGTTGTTTCCTCCGTCTTTCCGTCAGCACCGCGTTCCGCAAACATCGCCGCTGCCCTTCGAGCGGGATAAAACCGTGATTTTAACACAGGGGCTCAGCCTTCCTTCCCCTGGAAAGGTATCGTCACCCCGGGACGTCCGAGCCCCTGGGCCGGTGCGGCTCACACGCGGCGAGCGACTGGGGAGGAGGCTCCTGAGGCCGCCGTGGCGCCGGCCGTGGGCTGTGAGAGGCCGGACGCGGGACCTGACGCCGGACGCGGGACGTGAGGCCCGACGTGGGGCGTGACGCCGGACGTGGGATGTGACGCCGGACGTGGGCTGTGACGCCGGACGTGGGGCGTGACGCCGGACATGGGGCGTGAGAGGCTGGACGCGGGACCTGACGCCAGACGCGGGACGTGACGCCGGACGTGGGCTGTGACGCTGTACGTGGGGCGTCAGGCCGGACGTGGGGCGTGAGAGGCTGTATGCGGGACCTGACGCCGGACGCCGGACGCGAGACCTGTCGCCGGACGTGGGGCGTGAGAGGCTGGATGCGGGACCTGTCGCCGGACGCGGGACCTGACGCCGGACGAGACGTGAGGCCGGACGGGGGCCGGAGGAAGGACGAGGCCGGGAGACCTGGAGGCGGAGGTGGGTCGGACCGGAAGCCTCAGGACCGCCTCGGCCCCTGGGCTCGGGGCTCGGGACCCGCCGGCAGCGCGGCAGGGAGGGCTCCAGACTGCGCCCGGCCTGGGCCTCGCGGGCCGGTGGGGGGGTGGGGAGGCTGCGGGCGGAGCGCCCTTCCCGGGAGACGCCCTGTGGGTCGGCCGGGTAGAAGGGCGCTCCCAGGCGACGAAGCGGTCCGGGTGTGCACGTGGACGTTCGTGGGTTCCGGGCTCTGTGAGATTCCTTCCTGAGCGCCGGCCTCCCTCCCTCGGAGGCTCTGACCTTGAGCGGCCGCCGCGCTCCGCTGGCGGATGGCAGAAGCGTGAATCTTGAGATGCCAACTTCTGGAGTGTGACGAACGTCTGCGAGTGACCTGGCCGGTGTCACCCGCGCTGCGCCCCGGTAACATGCGCATGCACGGGCATTGTGTTGATTTTTGGAATTTCGAAGTAGGAGGACGCCAGCATGTTTTTTTACCCCTGTTTTGTTTGGAGTCACACAGGGATCTAGATAATTTAGCTTCCGAGAAACAAACAAAACAAAACAACTGCGCAGCCAGGTTACGCGTGGAGTTCCTCCCCCGTCCTCCGCTCGCTGCAGCCTCCGCCTTGCGGGGAGGTCGAACGACCAGGCAGAGTCTCTGTGGGCGCGAGGGGTTGCCTTGGGAAGGCGACTAGAGGCAGGCTGCGTCCGTGTTCTTTCTGGTTTGCTTTCTTGAGTTCCGTGACGGTTAGGATTAGGTTTGGTTGCAAATACCAGGCATCCAAACACGTGGCTTACAGTCCAGAGGTTTTATTCTGGCGCAGCGAAGGTTGGAGGTGGACAGCTCGGGCTGCCTTTCTGCTCTGCGCTTCCTACCCTGCGGCTTCCTGGCTCAGGCTTCCCTCGTGGCCCAGAATGGCTGCTCGGACTCTGCCTCTGTGTTCACGTCCTGTGCAGCGGGGAGACAGAGGGGACAGGCCTGTTCCAGATACTTTCTGTAGGTCCCAGCCCGTGTCCTCTGCTTAGCGGTTACTTGTCCCAGACTCAGTCTTCCAGCCGTGACAGGCTGGAAAATGTCACTTCCAGTTGGGCACATTCCCACACCCAGACTAGGGACTTTGTGAACACGCGAGGGCGGGGCTGCCGGGGGCCATGGCAGTCTCTTCACGCCTCTCGGCTTTCTCCCAGCCGTCTGGTTCGCTCACTCACTGGCTTGGTGCTGAGCGAGGCCCCGGGGGTGGAGAGAGGAGAGAGGCTCCTTGCCGTGGGGGAGGGGCCGCTCAGTGCGAGGCCAGCACGCGGTGCTCGCAGCGCAGGGGAAGAGCGCAGCCTGCGGGGCCGGGCCGGGGCAGAGGCCGAGGGGCGCTTCAGTCTGCAGCTTGTGTGCCGTGTGAGGACCAGGTGCTGTTTGTGCTGCGAGGGGCTCAGGGGGCCGGGCACGCAGCACATGCCCGGGCAACCGCTGGGTGGGTGTTGCTGTGTGGGCTGCAGGGGTGAAGGCGTCTAAGGGCAGCGCACATAAGCGTGTGAACTGCGCTGGCTTCAAAAGTGAGCCGCCCACACCACCGGCGCTTATTGGGCATCTGCTGTGTATGGTACCGTACAGGCATGAGAGCTGCCGTGGGAACAAGACAGACTCCCTGCCTGCTTCCCTGGGGGAGGACAGACATCGAGGATGTACTACGGCAAGGGGAGAGTGGCAGGGCCAGGCCCAGCCAGGCGAAAGGAGGGGCTCACCTGCAGCAGCGCCTGGAGCTGAGAGACTTGGCAGAGCCCAGGTGGCCAGACGTGGACAGCTGGGAAATGTTAAGGCC